TGCTTTACTTTTTAAATCTTTGAAAAAATTTCGAATGGGTACCAGATTGCTAGAGTTTGGAGGAATTAGGTTTGTGATCAACCAGTCAGTTGTCCCTGTGAAATTGGAGTCTTCACCCGAAGATCGGAGTTGTCTTTCCGCTGTTTGCTGTCTAAGGTTATACCCTTTATATTAAATATGTTATATATTGGGCATTGTCTTTTGATATTACCCCTTATTTATAGCTATATGTGAGATTTGACTTCCTAGAGTCCCGTATGGTTCGTATCTGATTTTGTTGTTAAAATCGGATGCTACAATCGGTGCCACCTCCTCCATCTTCTCTTTCACCGGCATGGAGACGACGCTGCTTGGTTTGATGGCCGAGATCCGGCCCGTTCCTCATCTAGAGAGGCGCCGACCACCGCGGGGGACGAATGACGGACGGAGGAGGTCACGTATGGCACGGCACCGGAGAGTCGAAGATCCGGCCCGCGGATCCTTGCGCCACGCCGCCATCCGGAGAGCTCGGCGAGAGGAGGTCACGTGCCACCTCCTCCACGGGCGCATGGAGAGAGTTTGAAGATCCGGCCCCGCCCTCGTCCGCGGATCTTGCATGGCGCGGATCTTGCTTGCAGGCGGCGGCGACGGAACATCCACAGAGAGTCGGAGAAGGCAGAGATGGCCGTGTCGTGTGACAGAGAGAGTAGGGGCATTTGTGTCTTTTACCTTCAGCCTTGGATGCGTGAAGACTCCTAAAACGACGTTTCTCGTGGGATGGAGGGAGTATTCTCGTCTGTCTAGAATTCCTTGACGCCTGCAGTTGCCCTCCTGTCGATGGATCGGTGTACTTCCTCTGCTACTCTTCATCAGTCAGATCTGCAGTGATAGATAGATCCCAGTGTCAGATAACAAGAGCTTTTGCCGTGGCCCAGGTGCAAGCAAAAGATCGATGCTCGTACGCGTGTACTTGTGCCTGGCCAACTGAATTACAAATGGCACGTACGTACAAACGTGATGCGCTGAGGGACGGCACACACTAAACATAATAATCACACCGATCAGGACAAAGCAAATGCAACAGTAGCTGAGATTCGTGGAGTTTTGTACACTGCATGTGCACAACAGTGGTGGCCGGGGTCAGGGGCGGAGCCAGGATTAGAGTACAGGACATTGAACACATCTACTTTTTACTGGATGTGTCGTTTAAGAACTAAATCGATCTTCTAACTCTGCTAGTTGTTGATCAATTGTAACATAAAACACATCTACATCTACTCTGTAATGGTGAAATTGGAAAGAGAAATTTAGAATCACTAGTGACTGTTAATCAGATAAGAGAATATAACTGGATGATTTATGATTATGGATTACCTGCTGCTGCTGGTGGACGGCAGTCGGCGGTGGGTGTCAATTTTGGACCTCTGCTAGTTGTTGGTCCCAGAATATAACTGGATGATTTATAATGTTTATAATGTCACCTTCTAGAATTAATGTAGCATAAACATTATAAATATGTGTGTCCTATTTTTTATAGCTCACAAGGTAAACGAATCAGCTCGAGCTCGATAACAAGCCGAGCCGAGCTAACTCGTTAGCCTAACGAGCCAGCTCGAGTTGGACCGAGCCGAGCCGAGTTGGCTCGATATCCGGCCCTATATATATAATAGAGGATTAGCACACCTGGCCGGGGTGCTCCGGCCTGTACACTTTTACTTCTAGGACTGCACAACAGTAGTGGGCGAAAAAAGGCCCAGAGGCTACAGTGCATGATAGTAGGGCCCCTAGCCCTGATGCGTTGTCAAGTGAAGGAAAGGGACCAAACAGTCTTGTTTAGCATTTAATTTAACTGTGCAGTCGCTTTCTACATGTGTCCCTGACAACTACAACAAATTCAATAGAACTTCCGTTGCAATAACAATAACCATTTTCTATCAGATGAAAAATGACATGGAAAAAGATCCAGGTTGTTTAAATTTCAGAGACGTACAGTAACCCCAAGCCATATTCTAATTTTTGCCGGTTGTACACGTAGCATGTATTTCATTTGGAGACTAAGTAGGATGGATGGTCCCATATCTCTGTTCTATCCGTCTCTCTTTTCTAAGATGGAATCATTGAGCATATTTGGTTCGTGGCATGAGATGATCTTAATTTAATTTTTTTGTTTGGCAGAAGGAAGGAACGAACGACGAGAGATGGGCTAGATGGAGCACCGGAGCCACCCGCCCACTCTGCCTTGCCGGAGCCACGCCGTCCTCACCGGCCTACTCTCGTGCCTCCTCGCCCGCGCGGAGCTGGCCCATGCCTGTGGCCACCTATGCCTCACCCTAGTGGAGACGCACCGCCATTCCATCCTTATCTCACGGAGCTGCCTATGCGTCCGGGGGTGGCCTAGCCTACACAACCTCACTGGAGCCGCGCCCACCTGCTTGCATCAGACCATCAGTGCCCCGTCACCTACATGCGTGAAGGAGGAATGGAAGCACATGACAATATGATGGGGATGAAGAGGGATGTCCGCATCCCTTCAATTTATTTAGGCTGGATCCATCCTCCCACATTTGTCGGAAATATTCCACAGCTAGATTCATCCCACTCACCCTGAACCAAACACTAGCTAAAATGGGATCGCCCAATCCTATACCACTTGCTTATAAGTTATAACTCATTGTGGCCATATGCAAATATATAACTTCCTCCTCCTTCATCCACTCACTTCTCCAAGGAGAAACAGAAAAGAACCATAAGACTTGAGAAAGCATTCTATGAGTGTCTGGGTACCCACATATAGAAATGATAAAATTAGTTCCTTGGCCCTAAAAACATTGTGTTTTCTTTCTTGGCCCTTTTTATTTTGAACTTCCCTATTTGGCCCCAAAAGGAAATTCGTTTGTTTTCTTGGCCCTTCCGTTGGAAATCATCAATTTTCTAGAAACACATGGATAGAGGTTCATATAGCCACCTCTAGGAAGCGATTTCAGCTGGCTCTACAAATTAAGCAATTCCATTCCGTAGTAGTGCTAGTACGTAGATCCTTAGTCACTTGTAACAAAACTAATAAAGTTTCGATAACAAAGTTTTTGTAATTCACTTTTTTGTACTTCATCCTACCGCAAATGTAAAGATTTCTAGGACTTTCTGGACAACATAAGAAAGGAGGAAGACAATGCATGTACCACTCAATTAATCCCCCAAGTCCTGCCAGATGGATTTGACGAGAAGACCTAACTAACGTTTCTCATAGCACTACTACAAAATGGGCAATAACTGTCGAACCATCACTACAAGATAATTTTAAACTGATAGTGGTAGGTGTATCACTGTTGGTTCATAAGCAACAAGCCAATCACAATCGAATTGCAAAAACCCGCCTAGTTGTATTACGAACCAGTAGTGATATCTTGGAACCTAGACCGAAAATTTATATTCAAGGTATTTAACTCTCTATCCTATTCACGTCTGCGTCCTTATCTTCCCTCTCACTCTCTCACAAGCCTTATCTCCCCTCTATCTCTCTCCGTGTGCCTCCTCTCCCATATCTGTCGCTCCTCGCCCTCCTCTCCTCCCCTCCCCTCCCCTCTATTCTCCTCCTCGGTGACCCAGCGTGGGTCACAATCACAACCAGCGGCCATGGCGTGGGTAGCTGCAGAGGATGGCCCTGCAGTGGCACCCGCACAGGTGGTAGTCTGGGGCTCTGGGCATGGCCGGTGCTAGTGTTTTCTTTTTCTTTTTCTTTTTGTTTTGTGAAAATAGGTATCATCGTTGGGCGAGCAACCGATAGTGGAAGGCCAGGTGTATCACCGTCGATTTCTCAATGTCGGATCGAAATATGCATGGGGTGCAGTGTAGATGAATTTTGAAACCCTCCATATATTAATTTGTCGACGGAAGGAAGGACGGAGTACGCATGCAGGGTCCAGGGTAGTATTCATATATACACACACGTAATGGGTCCAGAAGCATGCATGCTTCATCATATATACGGAGTGTATATATATGATATGATCATCATGTGGAAAACAATTGGACGCGTCGACGTCACGCGCACACTGATAAATCCAAGAGCCGTGCATTGTACAAGTATATGTTGCATGCATGCCTCTGGCAATGTAGTTGCCACATGAAAAGGGGAAAGGGACCTCACATAGAGATGGAGCTGATGATGCGTACGTGTGTGTGTATATATATATATACACACACGATAATTATTATATTAATTTATGAGATTATAGTAACTCCTTACTAAGTGGTTTACTATAACGTTATGGTAAATATCCCCATGTGTTATAGTAACCCAACTATCGTAAATATGTATTGACATTATCGTAAATTAGTATATAAAATTATCGTAAATGGAGGTGGCTACAAAATAACTTATTTTGTAACTGGCTACTGAATATACTCTTTCTATATATATGTATGTATGTATGTATGTATGTATGTATGTATGTATGTCCTACGCGATATGTTGTCGCTGGCTCTCAACACAGCAACCACGTATATGCTATTGCTACCATTTGATAGCTTAGCTAGCCTCCTCCTATACTAGTGTACGTGTGGACGGAACGACGACATCACGACAGCATTCTAGTGTGTGTGCAAGTCATGCAACAGTGCAAGCTCTTGCAATGGCCACCTTGTGAACAGAGACATCGAAAGAATTAATATATATGGTTCCCATGAATATATAATTGAGGTGTATATATAGTATGTATAATATATATAATAAAGCCCTTATTATAAACGCAGTATACCATACCACCAACGTGTTAATTAAACAACTTGATCGATCGGTCCCAATAAGTAGGACCGGACCTGATGAAAAGAAGGTGGGGAAATAACGAACGAACATGCCAGACAAAGATGCTTCAGGAGTGTCTTTTGTTGGGTGATCTTCTGAGGTAGTAGTGAATGAGGTGTATCTGTGTGTGTCTGTCGAGTGTCGAGTGAGTGTTGGACGTCGATGACATGCATCAGCGACCTCTCGGCCGGCGCGCGTCGGCGGGCGGAGTCGTGGGCTAGAGGAAGTCGACGCTGAACTCGTCCTCCAGCGCGCTACGGGCGAGGTCGAAGCAGGAATCCGGCAGGTCCCGCCGGATCGGGAAGCCCGCAGCGCCGCCGCTGACGCTGTGACCATGGAGCCTCGCCGCCGCCGGGTGCAGTTGCTGGTGGTTCTGCCAGGGGCTGTACTTGGCCGGGTCGAACTGGTACGCCGCCTCGGCATCGCGGCCGAACATGTCCGTGTGCGGCAGCATCGGCTCGCCGCCGACCACATTGCCGCCGCCGCAGGTCCAGGTGCCGTTGCTGTTGCTGGAGCTGTCGCCGCCGCCGCCGCCTGTGTAGGCGGCGCTGTACGTCGTGGCGGCGTCCGAGACCACGTCCACGCCGCCACCGTAGTCGCAGAGGTGGTTGTCGGAGCGGCCGAACGAGCCGTAGGAGCCCTGCCGCATTGCCGGGACGTTGGTCACGGACAGTGGGTCGAAGCTGACGGTCGGGGAGGGCGGCGCGAGAGGTTCGTCGCTGCTCATGGCGAAGCAGTGGTGGTCGTCAGTTGAGGGGAGCTGCTGCTTGTTATTAATATTGGCGGCGCCGCAGTCATCGTCCTGATGATGATGCGGTGCCACGGCGTCGTTGTCCGCAGCGACGACGTCGTCGTTAAGCGGCTTGTGGGTGGCGGGGTCGATGCCCCGCTGCCGGAGCTTCTTCTTGATGCACGAGTTCCAGAAGTTTTTTATCTCGTTGTCCGTCCGCCCCGGCAGCTGCGATGCGATCTGGGACCACCTGATGGATCACGTATAATCACATATATATTCACATGATGCATGCGTTGTAGCTTATAGTCATTACATATATGTATGTATGTAGTATGTGGGTGCTAACTGACATAAGAAACTCTGAGTGAGATTGTCATTGTTCATTTGAGTGCAATACTAAAATAAATCAGTAAGTGTGGGTGTGTGGCTTCCTGCTCCAAATTAAGTGTGTTGTTTACTACTAGCTTATACCTGTTGCCTAGTATCTTGTGGAGGCTGATGATGAGATCCTCCTCCTGCTGGGAGAAGCTGCCCCTCTTGAGGTCGGGCCTCAGGTAGTTGATCCATCTCAGCCTGCAGCTCTTGCCGCACCTCTCCAAACCTACATACACAAAAAACATTCTCTAATTAACTATATCGATCACAGTGAAAGGCAACAGCAGGAGATTATATATATCAAACAAATTCATTCAGCATTATATATACCTGCAAGCTTTGGGACTGAGCTCCAGCAGCCGACGCCATATCGGATGATGTGATTGTAGAGCTTCTCGTCCTCCTCCGGCGACCACAGGCCCCTCCGCAGCTTGGACCTCGTCGCCGCCGCCTCGCGCCCCATGGATCAATCGGACGGATGGGGCACACTCTTTGCCACCGCCCGCCGCGCGCGCTAGCCGGCCCGATCGACCGTTGCTTCTGCTGCGGGATCAGATCATGGGACCAGTTTCTTCAAGACTAGTACCGCAGTCCGCAGGTCGCAGAGCAGCAGCAGCCGCCAGTTAGCGGCAGGTGATGGCAACAATGATGATGAGACGGCCTGGCGGGCGGTATAAATTAAGCGACGGTTGGCTCTTTATCTCAGCCGCTCAGCTCAGCTCTCAGGGCATGCAGGGGACAGCAGGCAGTTCGATGCTTGAGACTTAAGCTAGAGATAACAGACTGGGATCTTATTAAAGTGGCGCTGAAGAAACTATAGCTTGTAGCGAAATAAAAGGGAGAGAAAAAAAAGAATCAACCAGCAGTGGTCGATGTGCTAGTCTCTCTCTGCGAACAAGATCGAACGGGCACTGGGCACTCTAGCTAGCTAGCTACTAATAAAGTGAGGTTGAAGCAAGCTAAGGTAAGGGCAGGGCAAGGCCCCCGTGGGCTCATGGATGGGGGTGGGTTGGAGGAGATTTAAGGAAATAAAGCAGGTAGCTTGAGGTGCGGGGAAGAGAGGCGATCAAGTACAATAATCCCACGATGCGACAACAAACTCCATCGACCACACCACATGCATTATCGCCGTCTCGTCATCATCATCGCCAATTCGTCAGCTCCCAGCAACAGTACCTGTACGGGTTAAAGGTGCTTAGCCTTTTTAATTATTGTTGTCATTAGCTAACCTCCGTTGCCTTTTCCCTTCATCGTCATTTCCCTTCTCTCCGTCCCGGGTGAGAGGTGGTGGTTGGGATATGACACGCTACGTATATAAGCTTACTACACACATGCATATGTACATGCAGCTACGGATCTAGAAAAACATGCTAAGAAAAGGCTAAATAGTTTTAGGAGACAACACTAAAATGGTTATCAGAATTCCTATGCCCTATGATACACTACTACAAAAACTTTACTGGAGGCGGGCATTTTCGGTTTTCCGCGGCAAGCGGCTAAAGGCCACGGTAAATCGTGGCTTAACCGCGGCGGACGGCCTTGTCCGCCGCGGTTAACCGATTTACCGCGGCGGGCGGTGTAACGTGCCCACTGTGGTAAATATACTTTTACCACGGTGGGCACATTACACTGACCGCCTCGGTTAATCATTTGGAAAAAACAAAAAAAAACCCAAAGCCTACCGGCGAGTCCATTGACTGAGCCCACCGGCGAGCCCAATCCCAAACCGAAACCCTAGCGCCGCCATCGCCATCCCGTGGATCCGGCCGCCCCCGCGCGCCTGGCCGCCGGAGACAGAGGAGGAGGCGCGCCATGATCCGCCGCCCCAAGGCTAGCCTTTGCCGGAGACAGAGGACGGAGGCGCGGGCCGCGAATGATCCGTGGATCCGCCGCGCCAGCGCGCCGCCCGCGAGGAGAGGAGGAGGCGCTGGGATGGCGGGCATTGCAAAGTGTTACAGTAGGCTCTAATTCACTTGGGATCCGGGATCCGCCGCCGCCGCCCGGCCACCGGGAGAGAGGAGGGGCGCGCGCCGCCTGGATCCGCCGCCGGCAGCCGCCGGCCACCGGAGACAGAGGGAGGAGGCGCGCCATGGATCCGGCGCTCGCATATGCGCTGCCGGGAGATGGAGGAGGCGCCCCGCCATGGATCCGTGGATCCGCCGCCTAAGCGCCAATTTGGGTGATAACGACCGGAGAGAGAGGAGGGTGCGCTTTGCTTGCCCGCCGATCCGGCGCGCCGCACGCTAGAGACGGAGAGAGAGGAGAGAGAGTTGAGTCGGGTTGTGTGAGGAGAGGCCGGTGTGTGTGAGAGAAAGAGTGGTGGCGTCTGGTGGGTGTGGAGTGTGTGTAAACCCTAGCTTGTGTATATATATGACGGGCCGAGCTGGGCAGCTGGGCCTAGGCCTCGCTCGAAGCGGGCCTTATAAGGTGCCTCGCCACGATAAATCGATTTATCGTGGCGGACATCTTAAAACGTCCGCCGTGGTAAAAATAGCCTATTTTCCGTGGCGGGCATTTTAAGACATCCGTCACGGTAAATCAATTTACCATAGCGGGCAAAAGTGACCGCTTCTGACGGTAATAATGCCCGCCTTATGTTGTAAATCGTGGGATTTACCATGGCAAGGGCAAAATAGACGTCCGCCATGGAGTGCAAAAGTGCAGCAGCAAGATAATCGCTTCGTAGTAGTGATATGAAATATTTCAAATTGCCACTACCGCAAAAATGGTTTTAGGAGACAACACTACTACATATTGTGTTGTCACTGCCGGGACCTTCACTGCCTATTTTTTGAGAGCAGGCGGTTATTAAGAACTCTAAGTTAGGGACTCACAAATCGATAATGACAACTGTTCAAAGACAGATCGATCTAAAGCAAAATTCAAACCCTAATTTGGGTGATAACGACAACTCAAAGTTACAAGGCACCGCCTAAAAGGCGGTGACTCAACACTTTAACAGATTCTACATATCGCCGATGTTTTACCTGCTTAACTCGCTTCCCGCCGTCCCATGCCCTTGACCTTCTCGATAGCCTCGCCATGTGGTTACCGGGACAAGATATTCGGGCTTCGCGCAGACAAGTGAAACTCGACGGTGAACGCAAAGAGACAGTTGATTTATCTGGTTCAGCCCTCGATCGTGGTCGAGTAATAGCCTCACGCCCAAATCGGCGTTAGCCTTTTGCGTTGTATTGATTGTGTGTTGTTGTGTTGTAGAAGTCATGATCTTTCCTCCTCTAGGAACCCCGCCTCCCTTATATAGTTAGGGAGGTCGTAGAATCCTAGTCGATTTACAATGAGAGTTCCAGTGAGGATTCTGTAATAATACTACTACTAAGATTACATGGGAGAATCCTAGTTAGACTAGATCTTCTCTCTTCCTTGAGGGGTATCCTATGGGTCCCGATGACCGACAAGCCCCCGAGCACTTCATGGTTGAGCTCTGGAAGCCTCGTCTTGTTCTTTCGTGTCTTGCCGAAAGCAGAACGAGCATCGTCGAAAGTGCTTTCTTGAGCGAAACCGTAGCGCTCTGTGAGATCTTCGCGTGGTGTGTACCTTTTTGAAGAAAAAAGTACTCCCCTTTTGGTGTAGCCCCCGAGCCTCTTGCTATTTGGTACAAAGAGCGGAAGGGCCTTGTCTTGAAATCGCTCTGATCCTTCGTTGAAATGTTTCCAAGCATGTACTGGGTTCTTTTATCAAAAGAACTCGGATATAGCTTGGTCATTAAAAACTTTTTTGTCATGAGTCCTTGAAGTAGTTTTGTCTTGAAGAAGTCTTCTTGGTGACGTGCGTTTTTTCGAAGAAAAAAGTGCACTCACTGAGTGTAGCCCTCGAGCCTCTTGCTATTTGGAACAAGGAGCTGGAGGGTCTTGAATCTTATGTTGTTTGAAAATTGCTGTCTTGAAGAAGCCTTTCGAATGGTGTGCGCTTTTTTGAAGAAAAAGTGTACTCATCGAGTGTAGCCCCGAGCCTCTTACTTTGATTTTTGGAACAAAGAGTTGGAGGGTCTTGAGTCTGATTTGTTCGAGGAACTGAAATATTCCCCTCTGCTTGCGCCTCTCCGAGCATTTATCGGGTTCTTTGATTCAAAAAGAACTCGATGCATTGTCTTGGCGTATTCTCTGGTAGTCTGCTGTTTGTCAGGTGTAGTTGTATGGTGGTGGTTGAGTGTAAATGTTGCCTGTTCACGGGTTGTACAACGTTGGCATATTCTTCCGAATATGTTCGTCTTGAAATCTTTATTCCTTCTCTTTGAGTCTTCTATTATTGAGTTATGTCTTTTCACTGTGTCCTTTGTTAGGATTGTTTCGTTGGTACTCCTAGTCCATGTGCGCCGCTCCTTCAATCTATAAATACCCTTTGAGTGCTTGTTTTCATCTATTGAACATTTTGTTGAAGCCTTCGTAGTCATGAATATGGTAGTTTGTGAAGTAGAGCAGCCCCCGGGCGTATTTTGTAGTTCCTGTGCGTCTTGTCGTAGCTGGAGGAGGTCTTGTGATAGGGATTAGAGGTAGACTAATCCCTTGTGGACTGAAGATTGTACTTGGAAGTACATGGTGGTAGTTGGAGGAAGTCTTGTGATGTGGGATCGTTCCTTCATCCAGCGATTACAGGTTGATCTTCCTTGCCCGCCTAATGATTGTCCGGTGCAGATCAAAACACTGATCTGCATCACGTTGGGCTTGGGTAGAGCAGATGCTGCCGACTTCCCACGGTCTATGTTGTCCCCGCCATGCTCTTGATTTACGCCTTGGATGCACTGCGTCCGTCCTTTGAAGAAAACAGTGTAGCCAAGTGTGGTTTATTCTACCGAGTAGCAATTTAAGACACATAGTCGTTCCAGAGCCTAGCTGTGTCTGGGTTCCTCTTTGCTACCTTGCTTGTTGTAGTACCGAGTTCGTTGGGTCTTGTAAGATGTGTAATCTTCAATTTCTTGAAACCATTTATAATGAAAAGAATCTTGTCTTCTGAGTTGTCATTCTTTATTCTGCTGATGTCCTGGTTGTTCATGAGAGTCCTGAGTTCTTTTTTAAGGACCGGGTTGTTATGTTCCTTGTGAGGTAACCTTCCATTGCCTCATGGTTGATGAGTTCTTTTTGCAACAATATGGTAACTCTGCCGTTTTCCTAGATGGATAAGTCCGAAATCTGTCCGTTGAACTGTACCGTTGTGTGGATTTGTGCCTTCCATCATTTTAGCTGTGTCAGTAAATGGACCGTGCGTTCTCACACCGTGCTTCAACGGGCCTGGTGGGCTATTTTTATCGTTGTAAAATCTATTTAAAGACCTTTCATCTTCTTTTTCTTTACTGCCCTGCTCTTGCCTTGAAACCCTAGTTTTCAGAAATCCGCCGCCGCCATTGTCATCGTCACCTTAGCGCCGCCGTCTGAGCCTCATCTTTCCCTACCGCCGTCTGAGCCTCATCTTTCCCTATTGCCTTCTTGTTTCCGTTAGCATATG